AGGTGCCAGCCCTGGGGATACCTGGCTACCTCTGCCCCGGGCAGATCCGGCTTCCTCCCAGCACCGGCTAAGACACCAGGAACCACGACCGGCTTTCTGACACTGACGCCAAAACCGCCCCTAGACCGCTGGGGCTCCCAGCCTCAGTGTCTTTCTCCCTAGCCACGTGTAAGCAGGCATGACTGCCCTGGGCGGGTGCTGAAGAACCTCTACAAGTATCTGAAGCAGCATCTCTTGGACCAAAGCTGAACTGGACTGGATCACAGATCTGCCTAGAATGACTAAACTTCATATTTCTCTGGGGGAGGGCGTTTTCTTTCTTTTTTCCTTTGCTCCATCCAGAATTGCATCTTTTTAATCTTAATCGGAGAAAGTGGAAAAGTCCGCATAATCCACTTTTTTTTAAATAGATTTGTTTTGTGATGGTGGCCGTGGAAAGGGAATTGGTGTGTCTTGGGAAAGAAAACTTCCACTGATGATAGGGCGCCCCCCAGTGGTAAAGTCTGGCTCAGCTTTTCAGGGCTCCAGGACTTTAATGTTTGGGGAGACTTTATTGGGGTTTGTTTTGTTTTTTTCACCGGGCAGAAATACAACTAAAACTACCAATGTAAAAGCGATTCAAGTCTGAATGTCTCTGGCAAACATCAAGTCAAACCCAAAAGTTTGTTGGAGGGAGGCTACACAGTTTGAAGGATGTATTATAGTTTTTGCTTCTAGTTTCTTTATTTTGTATAAAGAAGAAACAAATAAAGTATGTTTTTGTGTTTATCAGTTATTTATTGTACTTTAGTCAACTAATGCTCCACCATTTTTATATTTTTAGGTGGGGGTGGGAGAGGAGTGAATAGGAAAGAAAGGAAGAATAGTTTTTAAGAAGAAAAATTGTTTTTCAAAAGCATTGTGGATTTCCTTTCCCCCACTGCCTCTTGCAGCTGACTAGCTGGTGTTGTTGGATGTGAATAAAAAATTGTTAGTTAACTAACCCTCATTTACCTGGTCCCTTTTTTTATAGAAAAGGAAAAGAGCAACTGTGTTTTAAAAAATGCTACCATGATGGCTTTATCTTCTTTTAATAAGACCTTCTTTATATTGTTGAAGAAACTCTGGCAGTAGACAGTGCAACTATAATATAGTGCTGAGATCATTAATCTTTATAATATATTTTAGAATTTAGATGCACTGCCTAGGGTCAGAGATTTTAATTATTAATTAGTGTTATTATATTCCACCTCCAGCGTTCTAGAAGAGCTGTATATAATGTCAAGGGGTTCACCCTGCAATCCTGACTCCTGAGTAGCCCTTACTCATGGGAGCACCCACTTTCTGGAGGCCCATTAAAAGCTTTGGGAGTCAGTGAGTATGGCCAGCTGCAGGCTGGAATGCCAAATCAACTTCCCTCAGAGAATTTGCCATGTGTCCTTCAAACTGCCATGGTTGTAGGCCTGATCCAAAGCTCATCCAAGTCAAAGGAAAGAAAGACATTCATGGACTTTTGATCATGCTCTGTGAGATACAAGGGAGGAGCTGCTTTCAGTTTGTTTTTGCCTTCTGAGGTTCATACAGACACAACACAGGCAAAGAGTGATAATAGCTGTTTTGATTAGCTTTTCATCTTCTCTGAAAAACTCCTTTTCCCCCCCCCCCCCAAACAAATCTCCAACCCTACCCAGAAATTGGAGTTCTATAGGAATGGTTTACCAAGTGAACTCAGCACTTGTCACAATAGCCCAAGAGAAGAGATGGAGTGACACAATTTTAATTAGGCAGCCACATTTCTCCCTGCTCATGTAGTAGCAGCCCCAGAGAAGAAATCCAGTTCAGGGAGGGCTGAATTTTACACATTACCACATACCCATCAATGGCAGAATTGGTGGAATAATAGCTATGAGATTCTGTAACTGCTTAGCACGGGAGCTAACAGATTAGCTCTATCACTCTAACTAGCTAGATCATTTTTGTTAAAATAAAAATGTCTACTGTGAATGGTTTCCTTGTGTCTGTGTGTCTGTGTGTGTGCAAAAGAGAGCTCAGTTTCTCAGCATGAATAGCTGAAGGATGTAATTTATTTCTGTTTTATACACATAATTTCTTCACACACATGTACAAACAAGCCTGACCCAGATGCACAAGTAGACACACAACCAGAGACACACTCCTGTTTTATTTTTCAACAGTATTTTACAATGATGGAAATAATTGCCCTGGTTTTTTTTTTAATCACCCTAATGCAAACAAGGCCTCTCTCTGCTAAGAAGAAAGTGCTTTTCATGGGCACTGGGCAATGCTTACAGGGGGAGAATGAGGACTGTTGGACACATGTTGATTTCAAACTAATGGTCCCTGTGTGTCCTAGGTGTGTGCAACAGAGCAGTGCAGAGGTATCAGAAAGGCTGGTGCTCTTTCCAAAAGCTGGCAGTGTGAGCCTCTGAAACCCAAGATGTTGGGGTATTATCTGGAAACAACAGGTAAAAGCCCCAAACCCCCAACTCAAAGCTGTATCACCCCAACTAAATCATCACAGCCAGGGCTTTGTCAAACCGGGACTTAAAAACCTCTAGGGATAGAGATTCCATCACCTCCATAGGTAACCCATTCCGGTGATTCAACATCCTCTTAGGGTGCATCTAGACTGCAGGGTTTTTTCAGAAAAATTACCATTTTTCTGAAAAAAACTTCACTTACGTCCATACTGCTATTGCGGTCTTTCAGGGAAAAAATTGAAAGAACACAGAGGGGTTTCCAACATTGATAAACCTCATTCTATGAAGAAGAATGCCTTTTCCAGAAGAGCTCTTTCGGGAAAAGGTGTGTGTGGATGCAGAAGAAGGGGTTTTTTCAAAAGAAGAGGCCTCCAGGAAAAAGCACAGGTGCCCTGGTGGCCACTCCATCCATAGTAATCACAGCTTACATGTGAGACAGTGTCCAATGAGCGTGGATACTATCTTTTTCAAAAAAGCAGATGGCTTTTTTGATGTGCTTTTGAAATTTGGATGCTCTCTTCTGGAAGAAGTGTTTTTAGAAGATCTCTTACAAAAAAGCTTCTTTCGAAAGAAGCTTGCAGTTTAGACGTACCCTTAGGGAAATATTTTTTCCTGATATCCAACCTAGACCTCCCCCTCTGTAACTTTAGACCATTTCTTCTTGTTCTGCCATCTGTCACTACTGGGAACAGCCTCTCTCCATCCTCTTTGGAACCTCCCTTCAGGAAGTTGAAGGCTGCTATCAAATCACCCCTCATTTTTCTCTTCTGAAGACTAACTAAGCACAAATCACTCAGCCTCTCCTCAGAGGTCATGTGCTCCCACCCCCTAATCATTTTGGTTGCCCTCCGTTGGACCCTCTCTAATGCGTCCACATTTTTTCTGTAGTGGGGGGCCCAGAACAGGATGCAATACTCCTTATGTGGCCTCACCAGTGCCAAAAAAAGGGGAATAATCACTTCTCTATGGGTATGTCTACACTACCCCGCTAGTTCGAACTAGCGGGGGTAATGTAGTCATCTGCAATTGCAAATGAAGCCCGGGATTTGAATTTCTCGGGCTTCATTTGCACGAAGCCGGCCGGCGCCATTTTTAAATGCCGGCTAGTTCGGACCCCGTGCCGCACAGCTACACGCACCACGGACTAGCTAGCTCGGATTAGGCTTCCTATTCCGAACTAGCTGTACACCTCATGAAATGATTACCATTTAACAATTATATATTCCTTCCTTCTCTATTCCTTCACTTTACTAAAACTAACTTTCACTCTTTTTTTAAGACTATAAAAATAATAAAATGAACACCTGGCAAATGCTCATACTAGTTTTGTTTCTGTCCACTATCTTCACTGGAGGATTGTTGAAGTTTCTGTGCAGAAGGTAAGATACATTTTTCAGGACATGGTCAGATGGGGAGGGAGAGGGCGATGCTTTGATGTATCAATGTTCAATCAAAACCAGATCTTCTTTTTCATAGTGGCAGGGGTTCGTTGGTACTGAACTTCTATTTAGCCAGTTGATCCCCAGCCCATAGCAGTGCTTGGGATTCTTCCATTTTTGTTGAACCTCATCAGATTTCTTTTGGCCCAATCCTCCAATTTGTCTAGGTCACTCTGGACCCTGTTCCTATCCTGCAGCATATCTACCTCTCCCCCTAGCTTAGTGTCACCTACAAACTTGCTGAGGGTGCAACCCATCCCCTCATTCAGGTCATTAATAAAGATGTTGAACACAACCAGACCTAGAACCGATTCTTGGGGCACTCTGCTTGAAGTCAATTGCCAATGAGACATTGAGCCATTGATCACTACCTGTTGGGCCCAACAGTCTAGCCAGCTTTCCAGCCATCTTACAGTCCATTTAACCAATCCATACTTCCTTAACTTGCTGGCAAGAACACTGTGGGAGACCGTATCAAAAACTTTGCTAAAGTCAAGGTATATCACATCCACCGCCTTCCCCATGCCCACAGAGCCAGTTACCACATCATAGAAGCCCTTGTTAAGAAGCACTTGTTAATCCCCGCAAGCTGGGCTCATTCCGTCAAGGAGAAGAGGAAGGGGAAGGAACAGGAGCAAAGACTCAGAGCCTCCTTTCAGCTGGGAGGAAAATACATCCAAGGCTGGTGATGGACCATCCTGCTGTGGGGCATCTGGCAAGCGCCAAAAGGAAGTGTGGCTCCTGCTCCATGCTGGGATGAGTGGACCGCCGTTGCACTGTGCTCTTTGCAGAGGGGCCAGGCAGGAAAGGTTATAAGGAGACAGTTGAGGCAGCAGGCCTTGTGTTGATGGAACTGTCCCTGCTCCGCCCATGCCCACCCTTTGAGGGTGTATGGTTCTTACAGTCATGCTGCTAAAGGGTTCTTCTATAGCCCCAACCCCTGTGAATCCAGAGACCGGCTGGTGGGGGTAACATCTTTTCTTGGACCAGCAGCATCTCTCACCAACCATAGTTGGTTTAATCCAGCCTCACCCTCATGTTGCTCTCCTAGCTGTGGCACAATACATCTACAATATTGCAGCTCATGGTGAGAGGATGTCAGGGAGCAATGTGACCTGCCCCAGATAGGCCATGCTGGGCTTGCCATCAATGCTGCCCTTTCACATCAGGCCTCTCTGGTCCTTCAGTGCCTCCACTGGGGCCTTCCCCTGCTATGTGATGGGCTGTCTTTCTCACTGGAACCCCATAATAGCAACTTCCCCTGTGCCCATTGGAATCACTGGAAAGTCTCCCCGGCTTAGAGGGGCTCAAACCACTCTCCATGATCCTCTATCTTGACCAAAAAAGAGGCTCTCCCATCAAGGAGAGGGAACCGAAGCATTCCTTGCTGCAACACAGAGCCAGGATCACCATTTCTCATCCACTCTATTCTGGGGCTGGAGAGTTGGGGCTCGGACCAGGCTTCTGACTGTAGCTGGCATCACCGAGTTTTGCTTTGGTGTTCAATCCGTTTAATCTATTTTGGGTGAAAACACAAATGGGACTAGAAATGGGTTCCACGCCTGGGAAACCAATGTTAGAAAAGAGAAAAGAAAAGGTTTATAGCAATTAGTTCTATGGTCTTTGTCCCTCACTCTGCCCCTCCATTCTTACCTCACCCATGTTTGTTTTCTTTCTTTCTTTCTTTCTTTCTTTCTTTCTTTCTTTCTTTCTTTCTTTCTTTCTTTCTTTCTTTCTTTCTTTCTTTCTTTCTTTCTTTCTTTCTTTAAGTCTAGATTGCTGAGCTTTTCCAGAACAGTTTCCAAAAAAGCAGATGTGTTCTTTCGGCATCCCTATATTTCTCTCAGTGAGAGGAATAAGGGATGTTCCAAAAGAGGAGTTTCTTCTGAAATTTGAACCCGTGTACATTTTTGAAAAGCCTCTTTTGGAAAAAAAAATCAGAAAAAGATATGCAAATTGCGAATTGCAATCTGCATATCTTTTTCCGACTTTTCTCTGCAGTGTAGACATAGCCTAATTGCCTTCTTTTCTTCTATTTTTTCATTCTTTTTCATTATTATCTATTTATTGCTCCCTCCATCCCACCTTTACACCTCCCCACTTACCTCTTTACATTCATCCTCACACTTTCCCCTCTTAACTTGAGAGGCCTACAAAGCAGGTGGCCACTTCTTTACCAAAACAAGGCCATTTCTAAGACAGCTGGCCTAGGTGCAATCCTTTAAAGCCCAGGATCTGCTCATTTTATTTATCCTTCCTTGCACAAAGCTGTAATTCTTAGTAAGATGTGGCAGTTAAACTATATTGATCACTCATGAAGCTTGGCTGCCAAACAGCTAAAGATTCTCGCCTCTTTTCTTTCCCCCCTCCCAGAGATATAAATAAATAAAGTCCTAGGCAGGCTGCAGCTCTGAACTAATATTTAAAATGCAAAATCATTGTGGAGTTTTTTCTCCTTGGGCTTGCAGTAAAAAGATATAAACAGAATAAATTACCTTCCGTTGGTGGATTATGAGAGTACCTGTCTCCTGACCTGAATTTTAAGTCCTAACTCGATTGTACCACCATGCACTAGTGATTTATGAAAACCCAGTCACTTCTCTGCATATTTTCTCTGTTCAGCCAAGTGATGGAATTTATCCTTCCTATACCATTAAAGATTTTAACAACTGAGTTACCTATCATTGTAAATGAGCCATTCTAATGATGAACTGAAACCTACAGGATTCCTGCGAAATGAATTGTGTCCTTACTTCTAATTTGGCTAATGCTGTGCTTTTAGATAGCACCTGTCTCTTCCAGAGCCTTAGGTGGGTGAATGACATTTTCCCCTTTTTACAAGAGAGTATACTGAGGCACAAGGCCTAGGGGCACGGTGAGTGGGTCAGGAGGAGAACTGTGAGTAGAACTCAGTAGCCAAATTTCCTGTTGTGTTACTCAGTTTTATGCTGGTGTAACTGTAGCCTTCTACCTGAACCAGATTCTCCTGACTCCTATATTGTGGCATAGCGACTGGGTACCCAATCACTAGAAGCCCATGCCAGGAGGGCAATCCTCACTTACTAGCAGGATACACATAGAAGGACCAGAACCTCAGCTGGCATGAGCCTGCATGGGCAGGAACAGTGTCCCAGTCTCTGTTAGTCAGAAGCCGGGAATGGGTGCCAGGTCTGGGTTGTAGGTGAAGGTAGGGCTGGGGGAGGCAAGCCCCCAATCATACCTCCACTTCCACCCCTTCTGCCCAGGCCCCACCTCTAGAATTAAAGGGAGGTGGGGTGCTGCATGGCCGCAGCCTCCCCAAGCCCCAGAGTACAGAGAGAGAGGAGGGCATGATGCCTCAGCCTACTTGTCCCAGAGCAAGGAGAGGGCAAGTAGCTTCCTTGGCCGTGGAGCACAGGGAGGGAGGGTGGCATGGTCTGAGCCTCCCCAACCCCAGAGCAGAGAAAGGTGAGCAACACACGTCTTTGGCTTCAGTCTGCCCAGCCCTGGAGCATGAGGAGAATGTGCGGTGCATGACCCCAGCCTCTCCACCCCCAGTAGGTGTTCTGAGGGTGGAGGGAAGGCAATGCCTTTCCCTGCCTTGCATACCTGTGGCCCATAGAAACATGGGATGGATCACTTGATCACTGCTTGTTCTGTTCATTCTCTCTGGAGCATCTGGTACTGGCTTCTATTCAGAAGTAGTTGTAGTTGCATAGCTTATTTTGGCTTTAGCCCTGCTGTGTAGACATATCCCTAGGGTTAGTCTACACAGTAGCACAAACCTCGAAATAAGCTATGTAATTTGAGCTACGCAGCTTGCGTAGCTTATTTCAAAATAGCTTATTTCAAAATTTGGCGCTGTCTACACAGCACTAATTTCAAAATAAATCACTATTCCGGCATCTTCCTCAATCCTCGTGCAATAAGATTTACAGGAAGCCAGAATAAGAAGCCCGTTATTTCGAATGTATTTCAAAATAACAGGTATGCTGTTCAGAGGCGCAGAAGGCTATTTTGGGATAATGGACTTTATCCTGAAATAGTACTGCTGTGTAGACGTACCCCTAGAGTCCTCACCTCCAGTCTCACTCCTTTCCTTCCCCTACCTCACACTCTGGGCTGGAGAGTCAGAAGGATTCCAGTTTATGAAAACACATATGGGCGTACTTAGCCTAAAGCATGTGCTAAAGCTCCATTGCCTTTGACTGAAGCACAGTGCTTTAGTGTTCTCCTGAGCAGGGATGCTTTTGTGACTTTCCAGCCCAAGCGGTTGCTCCTGGACCCATGGCCATGAATACCCAAACCGAGGGTCAGGCCCTACGAGGGGTTATAGAATCACAGAACACTAGGACTGGAAGGGACCTTAAGAGGTCATCGAGTCCAGTCCCCTGCTGTCACGGCAGGACCTAGCACCGTCTAGACCAGCGGTTCCCAACCCTTTCCAGATGGGGACCCATTTTGACAATTCAGGAAGACTTGGTGACCAAGGCAAGTGTAAGACATCGTTAAGTTACTTTTTTTAGAACACTTGTGAGGATTATAATTTAGCAGAGGAGGCAAGGTCATTCCCATGGCTATTAGCTAGTGGCAGAACCTCAGGCTTTTTGTCATTTTAAAATGGTATTTGTTTTTATTCAAAGGAACCAAGACGAGTAAGCCAATTTCAAGTGGTTTTTAAGCAAAATGGGAAGTTGACACCAGCTTAACTGCAATGACTGGAGATGCCCTATATAGGCCCCTATATCTCTTTCTGGTTCTACCTAGGGTGTGTCAACACAGCAGCATTATTTCAGAATAACTGATGTTATTCCAAAATAACAAAGAGTGACTCTACACTACAAGCTTTTATTTCAAAATAGTGTCGAGCTGGAGAACTTCTTACTCCAACTCCTGTAACCCTCATTTCATGAGGAGTAGGGGAAGTCTAAAGAAGAGTGTTCTTCCTTAGACTTCCTGTTGTGTATACAGTGCCTAAAGCCAAGTCAAGATATTTCGACTTCAGCTATGAAATTGACGTAGTTGTAGTTGCATAGCTTATTTTGGCTTTAGCCCTGCTGTGTAGACATATCCCTAGGGTTAGTCTACACAGTAGCACAAACCTCGAAATAAGCTATGTAATTTGAGCTACGCAGCTTGCGTAGCTTATTTCAAAATAGCTTATTTCAAAATTTGGCGCTGTCTACACAGCACTAATTTCAAAATAAATCACTATTCCGGCATCTTCCTCAATCCTCGTGCAATAAGATTTACAGGAAGCCAGAATAAGAAGCCCGTTATTTCGAATGTATTTCAAAATAACAGGTATGCTGTTCAGAGGCGCAGAAGGCTATTTTGGGATAATGGACTTTATCCTGAAATAGTACTGCTGTGTAGACGTACCCCTAGAGTCCTCACCTCCAGTCTCACTCCTTTCCTTCCCCTACCTCACACTCTGGGCTGGAGAGTCAGAAGGATTCCAGTTTATGAAAACACATATGGGCGTACTTAGCCTAAAGCATGTGCTAAAGCTCCATTGCCTTTGACTGAAGCACAGTGCTTTAGTGTTCTCCTGAGCAGGGATGCTTTTGTGACTTTCCAGCCCAAGCGGTTGCTCCTGGACCCATGGCCATGAATACCCAAACCGAGGGTCAGGCCCTACGAGGGGTTATAGAATCACAGAACACTAGGACTGGAAGGGACCTTAAGAGGTCATCGAGTCCAGTCCCCTGCTGTCACGGCAGGACCTAGCACCGTCTAGACCAGCGGTTCCCAGACTTTTCCAGATGGGGACCCATTTTGACAATTCAGGAAGACTTGGTGACCCAAAGCAATTAAAAAACAGGGGGGAGGAGGGCGGGTAGAGCCACCTGGGGAGATACTTGGCGACCCTTTTGAAATGTAATGGAGACCCATATTTGGGTCCTGACCCATAGCTTGGGAAACCCTGTTCTAGACCATCCCTGGAAATGTCTATCTAACTGCTGTTAAATATCTCCAGAGATGGAGATTCTGCAACCTCCCTAGGCAATTTATTCCAGTGTTTAACCACCCTGACAAGGAGTTTTTCCTAACGTCCAACCTAAACCTCCCTTGCTGCAGTATAAGCCAATTGCTTCTTGTCCCATCATCAGAGGCCAAGGAGAACAATTTTTCTCCCTCCTCCTTGTGACACCCTTTTTAGAGCCAATTGAGATCCAGAGGGCCTTAGTCTCTTATCAGTGATTGAAATTCACCCTTGCACATACACAAGCATAAAGAGCTCAGCCGACATCCAGTGGGACTAATAGAAGTCACCATTAGTGGCAAAGGACTTTGGACCAATACCATAGCCAATGTACTTTTTAAAATCTTGCTTAAGTCTTGCTTGGAGTGTTATTCAGTGTTCCTTGTAAACTGAGTGCTTGGGAGGCCACCCAGGAGAAATTCAAATGTCACTCAGTTAATTAGCAGAGCGCCCACAACTGGCAGCATTTGTTTCTATGGTGGTGCACATTCACACATGCCTTGGTGTACATAACATTTATTCCACACAAAATATTAGGTTTTTGTTGGCCAGTTGAGTGGAACAGGAATAAGGAGAGAGGCAGTCTCTAAGCCTCTAGGGAGGTGCTGCAGGCATGGGCATGCAAATGGAAGAGGCTTCATCCTGATAAAGGAAGAGGGAGACAAACAGAGAGGCTTGTAGACTGTAAGTCTCCACTGCCATTGTGGGATCTCAAGAACCTCACTCACCCACTCCTGTCTAGACCCCTAACATCTGGTTGACATGCTGAAGTTCTCAAAAATGATGTAAAGACTCCTAGTTACAGAGACTTCCCCATCTACACTAGTTTAAACTTGCAAAAGACCGTTGCCCTAGGCTGCAAAAGAAGGTAATCCCCTCACAGGGTCTCTGCCAACTAGTCCAGTAGAAAATTCTTCCACAGGCCAAATATGTTGATAATTAGACCCTAAGCTTGTGGGCAAGACCTACCAGCCAGAGCCCTGGGAAACAATTCCCTCTAGTAACTCAGAGACCTGCCATTGGGGATATTGGCTATTACTCCTTGGACTGGTAGAAAGCCTCACTTAATTATGAGCCAACATGTGTCGATGGCCAGTTTATCTCCATTTGTTCTTGTGTCCACACTGGCATTCCCACCCACATACAGAATGCATTTTGTTCTGTGCACCGTGGTGTGTGCAGCTGTGTCCCACCCGTACAAACACACGCTGTAGGTGTTTGAGCTGTAGGTGCTCTGCTAATTAGCTGGGTGGCTTTGGAATCTCTTCTGGGCAGCCGCCCAAGTGCACAGCTTACAGGGAATGCTGGCCCCTCCGTTGGATGTCTTTATGGACAGCAATCCTATCTCCTCTCAGCCTTTGTTTGATTAGGCCACACAAGTCTAGATGGTCTAGACAGTATTTGGTCCTGCCATGAGGGCAGGGGACTGGACACGATGACCTCTCGAGGTCCCTTCCAGTCCTAGTATTCTATGATTCTATGATTCTAAGTCAAGCTCTTTGAGCCTCATCAAAGGAGACAGGAGCCTGAGGAAGGAAGAGAGCAGGCAGCAGTATTGGGGGCCTACAGGGGAGCAGTGTTTCTGGATGTGACAATGAGGGAGGGAATTTAAAGAGTTTAAAGAGAAGCTAGATAATTTCATGGAGGTTAGGTCCATAAAAGGCTATTAGCCAGGGGACAGAAATGGTGTCCCTGGCCTCTGTTTGTCAGAGGCTGGAGAAGGATGGCAGGAGACAAATCGCTTGATCATTGTCTTCGGTCCACCCTCTCTGGGGCACCTGGCGCTGGCCACTGTGGGAAGGCAGGACACTGAGCTAGATGGACCATTGGTCTGACCCAGTATGGCCGTTCTTATGTTCTTATGTAATGCATTCGACAATAGCTGCTGCACACTGTCTCCTTCATGCCTGGACAAGCCTCCTACTGATCTCAGTGGCAGGCCTGGGGCACAGGGAATCCTGACGGTATATTCTGGCCCATGTGCCATAAGTATCCTTGGAATCCCTCCCTTGCTACCAAAAGCACCTAGCCCTCCTGCTTTAGA